TAGAACAAAGGAGCACAGATCTCAGAGGTGAATAAAATGAGTCATGATGTTATTGCCTGATTTCTTTGGTTCAGCCCTACTTTCAAATATATGCAAGCCAGTGAAGTCCCTTTCCTATTCAAGCAACTTCCAGTTGGGTGTTTACTACTTGATGAGAAGATCCATGATTTAGACATAGATTGTCAACATCATACCTTGTTGGAAGATTTTAGTAGGTAATTTGACAGATTTGATGATCTCCAAAACAGCCTCCAGTTCTATCATTCAGCAGTAATTTTAAGCTAATATATCTAATAAAAGCAACATGGTAGAAGGAGCAGAAGCTGTAAAATCAGAATGACCTGAGTTTTACTCAACTCATCTACTGCCTCATTCTAAAAAACCCCAGTTACTCAGCCTCTATGAGATGGTGTGTTACTATAAAATGAAAATGAATAATATGAGATTGCACATTTCTATAAAATAAAGAGTAATAATGTGTACCTTGAAGAGTTTCTTTCCAGGATTAAATGAAAACACTGAGTACTGAACACACTGCTTACCACATAATGTGCAGTCATGGATGACGGCTGTCATTACTTTATTAGTTCATAAACCAGAAGCCACACCTCACAGTGTCTACTACACATATAATAATGTACTTCCTTGCAACATCAAAGCTCAATAGAGTTACCAAATATTTTCTTACCCACCAGCTCATTCCTCCTACTCCCCAGTGCTCATAAATAGAATAAATTGGTAATATCACCCCACTTTAAAGAAGAAGAAACCAAGATCTCACAGCCAGTACCAAGCCGAGACAGGACCACAGTCACAGCCTTTTGACCTCAAGCTCAGAGCTCTAACTTCTCCACCATGTCTCCCACGGGCTTCATGCCAAGAATGTGTGTCATCTCTCAGAGTCTCCACTGATACTCCCTGAGCTGTGTATGTTACAGAGTAGTAGAATGATAAAGCTATAAATGTTATTGGAAATCCCAACCTCCTCCCCCACCCCCTCTCTGAAAACTTTCACTAATATTGTAGTTAAAAGTGTAGGATGAAGGTAAGAAAGATCAGGGTTGCAATCCCACAATTTTGGACTTTGTTACCGTAAGTGAATAAGCAAAGTCATGAGGAGCTTGCAGTTTTCTTATCTGTAATGTGGGTGACAGATGACTCCCTGCCTTTTCTGCTTCTAAAGAGAATTCCATGGGCCTATGTTGTAAAGCAATTACCACAGTGACCAGCACATTAAAACCTCTTGGTGAAAGCCATAAATTACCAGATCATCACCTTGATGATGATTATTACAAACCCACCAGTGCTTTCTTCACTCCTTCCCATCTCCCCAAACTCTTGACTTTAAAGAATATATATGCCACTGAGACTAGAAACCGTGTCTCTGTTGACTTTGTTTTCCCAAATCAATTCCTATTTCTGGAATGTCACAATGAATGAGTGATTGCAATGCTCAGGCTTCTATTTGAAGTATTAGCCTCAGGGAATAATGACCTTTGAGTTCTTATGTGGGCTCTTCTCACTTCCCTCCAGAATGGTGGTTCTATAGTCACTAAGTCTCTACACATTTCCTACAATAACATAGAGAGCACACCAGCATAGCAGAACCCACAGAGGCAATATCTCCAACACACTAAATGATAAGATGTTATAATCAACACCAAGTAGGAGAATAGTGCGAAATAGCCTACAGCAAACTATTGAAAGAGAGAAAAGTTGAATCCCACAGGCCTGTTCCTTCCAGCATTATTTCTCTTTGTGTGTGTGTGTATGTGTGTGTGTGTGTGTGTGTGTGTGTGTGTTTCCTGTGTTTCATCCCTTGTTCCATCACATATCTGCTTCAGATACAGCTGAGTCAAGGGTGGGGGCCACGGGCATTGGCCTGTGAAGGAGGATTGGGCTTTCTCCCTCATTCTGTTCTCCACTTGTAATTTGCATAAATTTTTTTTGGGACACATGCTACAAGGCAGACGAGACCTTTTTGATTGAACAGTGAAAGGAGCCAATTAGAAATGTGAAATCATAATTTCAGGACTTTAAAAAAATGTGTACAGCTGTTGGCTAAAGAACTGAGCAATGTCTAAGTCAGAAAAATATCCTAGGTAATGGTGCCAGAGAAACTAAATCAGTGGTAAATACTGCTAAGCCATCATTACACACTAAATAGTTATTGGCCATTTAGCTTTTTTTTTTTTTTTTTCAAAGAAAGCTAAAGAGTCTGAATTCCAAAGCTTATTCTCCATTCTCTTACAAATCAGAAATCCTGTTTCCTCCAATAATATGAATCTTCCAGAGAACATTAAAGGTCAAGCTAAAACCACAAAAACAAAGCAATGAAGATTTCAAAGTCCCAGAGTGGAAAAATGAAATTAAAAGTCATTGGTTGAAAACTGTTAATAGAAACACCAATCAGAAAGGATATATGCACCTCTATGTTCTTAACTGTACAATTTACCATAGCTAAGATTTGGAAACAACCTAAATGCCCATCAGCAGATGAGTGAATTAAAAAATTGTGGTACATATACATAATGGAATACTACGCTGCAGAAAAAAAAAAAAGAAAAGGAATTCTTACCATTTGCAACAGCATGGACAGAACTCTGGAGAACATTATGCTAAACAAAATAAGCCAGTCAGAGAAAGATAAATATCACATGATCTCACTCATTTGTGTAATATAATGAACAACATAAACTGATGAAGAAAAATAGATTCTGAGGCAGAGAAGCATTGATCAGACTGTCAAACTTCATAGGGAAGATAGGGGAGGGTGAAGGTAAGAGGGAGCAATCAACTAAAGGACTTGTATGCATGCATATAAGCCTAACCAATGGACACAGACACCAGGGGGGGGGTAAGGGCATGAGTGGACAATGGGTGGATAAGGACATATATGTAATACCTTAATCAATAAAGAAAAAATAAAAATATCAAAATAAATTCCTACAGGAAAAAAAAAGTCTTTGGTCCTTTCTAAACAGGGGAAAAGCTGAACTCTTTTTTTTTTTTAAATAAATCTTTATTGTTCATATTATTACAAATGTTTCTCTTCTCACCCCGCCCCTCCATTGCTCTCCTCCACCAGGTTCCCACCAACCCTCTGCCCTTTCCCCACCCCCTCAGTGTCCTCATCCGTAGGTGCACAGTTTATGTTCAGTCTCTTCCCACATTCTCCTCTCCCCTTTTCCCCAAGAATCGTCAGTTCACTCCCCTTCCATACCTCTGATTCTATTATATTCAACAGATAATATTGTTTATCAGTTGTTGTTTTTTTAATTTCCTTGGTTTTTAGATTCACTTGTTGATAGTTACATATTTGTTGTTCATAATTTTTATCTTTATTTACTTTCTCTTCCGAAAGAACCCCCTTCAGCAATTCATATAATTCTGGTTTGGTGGTGATGAACTCCTTTAGCTTTTTTTATTAGTGAAGCTCTTTATCTGGCCTTTGATTCTGAGTGATAGCTTTGCTGGGTAGATTATTTTTGGCTGTAAGTTCTTACTATTCATCACCTTGAATATTTCTTGCCATTCCCATCTGGCCTGCATGGTTTCTGTTGAGAAATCAGCTGACAATCTTATAGGTGCTCCTTTATAGGTAACTACCTGCTTTGCTCTTGCTGCTTTTAATATTCTCTCTTTGTCATTTGCTCTTGGAATTTTAATTATGATTTGTCTTGGTGTGGTCTTCTTTGAATTCCTTTTGTTTGGAGTTCTGTGAGCTTTCTGGACTTGTAAGTCTAATTCTTTCACCAGGTGGGGGAAGTTTTCTGTCACTATTTCTTTCAGTATGTTTTCAATATCTTGCTCTCTCTCATCTTCTGGGACCCCCATAATTCTGATGTTGGTTTGCTTGAAGTTGTCCCAGAGGTTTCTTACATTATCTTCAATTTTCTGGATTCTCTTGCCTTCTTGCTTCTGTGGAGGAGTGTCTTTTGGCTATTTATGTTACAAATCTTTGACTTTAACTCTTAACTTAAGACCAGGAGTCCATGGGGCAATGACGAAGGGAAGCAGGAACCCCAAGCCAAACCATAGGTAAAGTGGCCTGGAAACTCTCAACTTGGCAGAGCCTTTCCCTTTCCGGCCCCTTTGTGCCAGCAGATCACAATGCAGCTGGAACGTAGAGAGGCCCCCAGGGGGCTTATATTGGGAATAGAATGTGAGGACCTAGCCTCCAATGGATAGGCTGTAGCTGAGGACCTGGCTCTCTCCCAACTCCACAGGATTTTCCTGTATTACCCTATACAAGTCACTCTCCCTGCCCTGCCCTAGTTTCATTTAATTTCTTCTAATGAGACTCCCTCTTTCTTCTTCTCATTCTATAGTGTGAGGGATGCCAAGAAGGCACTCTTGGGACTGGAGGCCCAACTCTATAACATTTACATTTCCTATTACACCTTTTCACCAATGCCTGAAATATCACCATTCGTTACATATTTAATCTAAAAGCATTGTGTGCATGCCTACTTTAAGCCAGATACTGTACTAGGCCATAGGAATGCAGTAGTGAGTAAAATAAGCACAGACCCTCCACACAGTCCCATTGAAATAAATGCTGAATTAAACAGGTGAATACTCATAAACATCCATGCCAACTGAGAGTCCCCCATTGAGTGAGTGGACAAAGTACTCTGGGGAAGAGGTAAGTCTGAATCTCAGTCATCAGCAAAGCCATTGTCAATGTGATGTGAACTGCAACTTGAGATGAGCTGTAAAGATCCAGGAGCACAAGTACTGCTACAGGTTGGAGATGAGCATATATAGAAGTGAATAAAATAAACAGGGATCCTACACACAGCCTCAAAGCTGGAGAGAAGCTGGGGGTGGTCTAGAATTAGAAAGGAAAGAAGAAATGCCTTTTCATGTCCTCTTCCCATTTTTTGATCAGATTGTTTTTTCATTATTGAGTTGTGTGAATTTCCAAAAATAAGCTCGTAGAAACAGAGGTAAAGCGATAGTTGCCAGAAGAGAGAGTGTGGGAGATGGGTGAAAAGCGTGAAGGGAAATATAGAGGATGATAATGTTGATAAGTTAGCACAGTGACAAATGATTACTAAAACTTGTGGGGTGATTACTGTTCTAAAATATAAAATTGTCAAATCATATATTGTACACCTGAAGTTAATGTAACTAATATGAGATTGTATATCAACTATACTTAAATATACTGTGGCTATTGCTGGGTGAGGTAATTATCATGAGATGCAAGAGAAAATCATGAATTCAAAGTTGAAATGTCTAAATGGCATTGTTTGGGGGATTTTATTGAGGTCTCTGTAGAGTAGGCATGGTTGATTAAATCATTGACTACTGGTGACTGAACTCAATTTCCAGCTCCCCGCCCCTTCCTGAAGTGGGGCTGAAAGTTCTAACACTTTATAGTCCCTTGGTTGCTTACCCTGGCAGTCAGCCTTCATTCTGAAGTTAGGTAGCACCCCTGACCTTTCCCGCCACCAATGTATCATCTCATATGCAACCAAAAGACGGACACAGGACAAAGACAGATATATATATTTATTCTCTAAATATCTCTCTTATGAATAGCACTATAGGGTGCTCCCCAAAAATGTATACACACACTTTAAGTAATTATAAAGACAATGCTTATTAAAAAGATTTCAGTTTTTAAATTGAACTATCAGCTGTTAAAGTATGTATACATTTTGGGGGGATACCCTATATATGAGAGGCATTTGATAAACCAGAGAAACAAACTTAAACTATAAAAAAAATTATTTTTAGATACTTAGTTTAAATAACTAAGAGTGTTCAAACATGTGTGGGAGAAAGAGAGCACAAAATAGAAAAAATCAAAATGAATAAAAAATAATGGGATAAACAGAGATAATCCACAAAATATGAGAACTTTCAAAATGATTCTAATAAAGATTCTCAAAGATTTTTTGAGAAAATATTACATCAACAAGATAACCATAGGTTGATATAAAGTGGTTAACCAGAAAACAGGGAAGCATTCATGGAATTAAAAATACAATGACTGGGAACTTTAAAAAAAATAATAATAATAGTATTGTCTGAGGAAAATACCCCAGAACACAAAAAATAATGTAAGATAAAATTGAAATCTTAAAGGATAAACCCAGAAGTGCCATCCTCCATCCAAAAGAATTCTACAAGAGAAGAAAGAATATTATAGAAGCCCTAACTGGTTTGGCTCAGTGGATAGAGCATCAGCCTGTGGACTGAAAGGTCCCAGGTTTGATTCTGGTCAAGGGCATGTACGTTGGTTGCAGGCACATCCCCAGTAGAGGATATGCAGGAGGTAGCTGATTCTCTTTCATTGATGTTTCTTACTCTCTCTCCTTTTTTCTTCCTCTCTATAAAAAAAAAAAATCAATAAAATATATTTTTAAAAGAATATGACAGAAAATAAAATATTAAAAAAATGCTACAAAACAGCAGAGCTGTGACCATAAAGTTTTAAGCAAGAAATGGTAGTTTAAACCCAGAATTCCTTATCTAGTCACAACACAAAGTGTGAGGAAAAAAATAAAGAAATTTTAGACATAAAAAGACTAAGAATATATATGTTCATGTAGTCTTCTGGGATGAAAATAATCTTTATTATGGCCCAGCTGGTCTTGCTCAGTGGTTAATTCCTGGTCAGGAAGACATTCCAGACAAAGCCAGGGCTAAAAGGGTCAGCTGGGGCAGGGAGGGCCAGCCAAAGCAGCTGAGGCTGCCAGGGCCAAGCCCCTGGCATGAATTTTTTGCATCAGGCCTCTAGGCCTGTATAATAAAAGCCTAATATGCTAAGTGTCTGGTCAACCAGTTGGTCATTCAACCAATCAAAGCATAATATGCTATTGATATACTAAGGTAGCTCAATCACTTGCTATGATGTGTACTGACCACCAGGGAGGAAATCCTCCAACTTGTAGGTTAGCTTACTGCTAGGGTCTGGCCAGTCCGGACTAAGGGAGATGGGCTGGATATGCCTTTGAGCCCTCCCATGGTCCCACTCCAGCTGGCCAACCTTCCATGTCCCTCCCTGGCCCTAATCATACATCAGTGGGGTCCGTTGACCTGTCCTGCACCTTCTTGCAATCCAGGATCCATTGGGGGATGTTAGAAAGGCAGTTTTGGCCTAAACCCTGAGGCCAGGCCGAGGGACCCAACTGGTGCATGAATTCATGTACCAGGCCTCTAGTGTAATAATAAATTGTTTATTATTTTAATAACAATTAGAAGAAATAAAAATAAATAATTCTATTAAAGAGTGGAGGAGGATAAGAATGGAGAATAAGGAAATCTTCATTTTTTTACTTAATACTGACATCCAATTTTTCAAGGAATGTGCATATTTTACTTTTATGGTGCCATCAACCAAGACTGTGAAAAAAAAGGAGAAAGAACAGGTGTGTATGAGGATGGGATGGATCAAGATTTCAGTTTAAACTTGTTGAGTCATTTATTTGAAATCTTCAGATCAAACATGAGCATTTACTGTAAGCTCTCTGATAGCAGGATTATAGAAATACACTTGATACACAATGGGGGGCTTTAGTGTACTCACTTTGAAATTTGCATTTTTATTTTGGAGGGGATTTTCTGTTCAAAGTTTTTGTTTGTTCTCAAACAGGGGCAAGTGTATGGTTTGTCAAAAAAAAAAAATCTTATTTTAATCCAGTGTCTTCTCAAGTGCTTACATTAATGAAATATTGCATTCAAAAACTCCAGACCTCTTTGATTAGTAAGTTTCCTAAGATTCCTTAAGACATATGTCATGAACTTGTTTATCATCCAATTAATAGGCTCCTTCCTAAGCCCCTCTTCCTAAGCAGAGCAGCATGCGGTCATTTGTTGGTCTTAACCAAGGAAAACTGCATAGCAGAGGGATGGAAATACAGGGCCCAACCTTGGCAGAGACAGAGAGGTCAGGATTAAAGGGTTGCATTTGGTGGTGATTCAAGAGCTGATAAAGCAAGCCATGGAAGAGGAATTAAATTGCTTAGACAAAAAGCAAAGGAAATGAGATGAAAGATAATGACAGAAAGTTAGGGGATGCTCACACATGAAGAGGAAGACTTAAGAAGATTAAAGTACAAAGACTTAAATGTCTTCTGAAGGAAAAAGATGCAAACCCATTAAACTATGAATTACTTAAAAGCAGAAACTGTCATTATTGACTTGAAATTCTCTAATCCACTGCTCTCTGGTCCCATTACATACACTTGATGGATAGTTATTCAATGAAATAAAAAAGGAAAGAATGCAGAATGGATGGAGATGTAGAGAAAACTTTTAGTAGATCCAAGAGAAAACAAGTGGACTGAATCAAACTGTCTTTATAAGGTTGGACTTGGTCCCTAGCATCTAGCAGTTTAGAGCTCCTTCTATGTGAGAGTAAATGAATGAATAAATGAAGTACAGGTTGGGATGGGCACAGATGGGGAAGAGAAGTGGACAGATAGAAGGGAACTGTGAACTAAGATTAATATAGGAGCTTAACATTTAGATTTCTGTTGCTGGCCTCAAATCCAAAAATCGTAATCATTTGCATTGCATAAAGTAGCATATGCAACCAAACAGCTCTAATATGATAAGAAGGCCCAGTATGGACATGCCCAAACCCTTTTAGTTTCTTGGGTCATTCTTTCTTTGAAAGAGTCATATGGCACTCTAGAGTCTGTATCAGATAGTATAGTCCCTAGACAGAAATTGCTAGAGGTTTCCCAATGTCTTAAAAAAACAACTCTACATTGTGATGTTGAGCAGAAACAAGAAAGAGTTCTGTTCCTTAGTGTAAGTGAAGGGATACAGAAGGAACATAAAGTCAGTGTTTTCCTTAGGTCATCCCATTGGAAGTGATGAATTATTAGCATGAATACAATCATTTTACTCCTAGATGCCAAAGCCAGGTTCAAGTATGCAAGCAAAACCCACTTTCATTTCCCCCAATTCTTTAAGACATCCTGAGTGTGGATCCACACACATGAATAGCAGAGAAACAGCAGAACATCAGGTCTGCCAAACCACAAATCGGCTTGGTGCATCAGCCCATTTCTCCTCGAGACACCTTATTTAATATAGAGTGTTGATTGCCTGGCTGGCATGGCTCAGTGGTTGAGCATTGACCTATGAACCAGGAGGTCATAGTTCAATTCTGATCAGGACATATGCCCAGGTTGTGGGCTGGATCCTCAGTGTAAGGCATGCAGGAGGCAGCAGATCTATGGATATCTCTCATCATTGATGTTTCTATGTCTCTATTCCTTTCCCTTATTCTCTAAATTTAATAAAAATATATTATTTATATATCTATAATAATAAAAGGGTAAATATGCTAATTAGATCAGACATCTTCCCGGAGTCCTTCCTGATGAAGCCAGGGCTGGAGGGAAGCCAGCCTGGGTCCCAGGTGGAAGGAAAGCCTACTCTTGCACAAATTTTTGTGCATCAGGTCTCCAGTATAGATATTGGTGGCCCATTACAGGAAGATTCCTGCAAGTGGCCATCATGAACACACAGGCCACTGCTGCTGCCACTACCACCCACCTTGCCCCGCCTGCCCTGCCCCACCATGCCCTGCCCACACTTTTCCTCTGGCAGCCACCTTGCTTTCCACTTTTCCTCTCTCTTTCTTCTATGCTGTCTTCAGTCTTCACTCCTTCCTCCCTCAATGTATTCAAATTAACCACCATCTTTGTTGGGTTAATTAGCATACTCACTCTGATTGGCTGTGGGTGTAGCAAAGGTATGGTCAATTAACATTTTTCTCTTTTACTAGTGTAGATATATGGAGCTGAAAGAAACCAATGCTGGTCAGAATTCCCCAATCTCTGTCTCACCAAGGTAAAGATACCTTCCTTCAGATCTGAGCCTTTCCTAGCCAGGCAAAGAGAGTTTTTATAGTCTGCAAAATTTTGGTGGGGTTTTGTGGCCTCCCATCAGATTTTGGGATCTATGTCTATCTCTGTTGAGAGAGAAGAGATGAGAGAAAGAAACAGCGAGAAATCACTCACATCTTCCTGGTTCTTCAAAA